TAGATAATCGGATTTACATACCGGTGCACTACATAATAGATCTGAGACGTTGAACAAGTGCTCTTGGTAATCACCTTGAGTTTACCTATTTGGTGAATAGTTCACTGGTTGTGATGCGAGGATTAAACTCACAAGAACAGACTGGCACGAATTTAACGCCCTCCTGATCGCGTTAGCATACAATCTGAGCACACGAGAGATGTCTGCATAGTCGCATCTTATCTATCTATCTATATTCCGTCTATTGCCCTCTTTCCATATATATGTTTAATTTGTCGTACACGTTGATTTTTATACCATTGTTGTATTCTGTGTAGATTTTCGTCAATTACAGATGGTTCACCGAAACATAGTTTCATCTAATTCGATCGTCCTGTGGACATTTTTGAGTTTAAAATGGGTGAAATATACCTCAGAAACAAATTTGGTCATTGATATTTGAAGTGGATTAATGATGCTTTGGTTGTCAATTAAGCACTTGGTGAATTTCGACGATACGTGATGCGAAAGGCGCACACTGCATGTTGACAGCTTTATGTGAATGGATGGGTGTTGCCTGCGTTCGAGCGTTAAATAACATGTTTCGTTCGGGTTCCGTTGCGCATTGTTGTCGTGGCCTTGTGAACAGGTAACACACACACACACGAACCATCCGATCGCCTTATTGCGCCGGAGGTTTGTGGACACCACATCTCAATCTACGACAGGTTCACGCCACCAGCTCTTGACCTGTTCTGACTTGACTCTACCAGTGTTTCTCCTTGACTGGTTCTATTTTGTAAGATCACCGGGCCATAGACCATTTTCACTACTTTTTCTCTGCTTGATTTGTCAGAAATTTACGTCCCTCTGCTGATAAAGGCCGCCTTGCGTGTACAGCCGTCGCCGTGGTTGCCGGCAAAAATATGTTCAGTGCAATTAAGTTTTCGGTTTCAATGCCATAAACTCCGAACACCGTTGACGTTTATCCGAATACAGTGATTTGTGAGCATCAAGTGCAATTCTGGCAAACGTGGGAAGACAAATCGGTCCTGCTCCACGAACGTCACAATTGCATTCATTACCCGAGATACATACACATCCAGGTAGGTAGAATAAGATCACCCGAGGGACGTGACAAAGTTTGTTTGAAATGAATAAATCAGTCGGTAGTAATTGGACATCTTTTAAACGATACAACATCATATTTGTGTACATGAAGAGAAAATGTGATATCGTTTTGCTTTGCATGTGAGGAGATTAAAATTATATTATTAAAATAAAACTTTTCCAAATTTAGCATACTACTAACAACAGTACCTGTGATCTACATTTTAATGAACATTTTTTCACTGCAAAAAACACCCACAGCATATATGGGACACAGAAACCATGATTGATGAATGACTCGAAGTCAGGCTTTTCTGAGTCACCTTAGCACGGAGGTAAATCATCGTAAAATTACATATTGGCTAGTATCCTGAAAAATACAAAATGAAGTTTCATCGCGTGCCTACAAACTATTGCACATGGATAGAGAACAAAATATCCGCCAGTTCATGGCAAAGCAACCGAAATCGATACTGGTGATCCGAACGGGGAATATTCGGGATGATTGGTAACAACCATGGATTCAACGACCTCGGAGTCTGCGCGAATAAAATCCTCATTGCCTTTCAAGTTTCGCCCACGTGGTTCACTGAACAGGTATTCTCTGATCTCAAACTGACCAGACTGTTTCGGATGGTCTGGGTCTTTCTCGGATGCCACCTCCATTTCCGCTGAACTATGTGGCACCGGCGATTGGGGTAGCGGATTTCGATTGGTTGAGAACGGCCAAAAGTTTCGCGGTCCAAGCGACACTAGCTTTCCGAACTGAATGGGAGACAAGTGGCAAGTAGACCAAAGGAAGGAATAAATTCATTTTAAGATGATCACAATCTCTCTTATTATAAGAAAATCAGTTAACAACAGGTGCGATTAGGGAGTGTTGGACATTACTATATCTCTCCTTGTGTGCTATTGATGTTTTGCTGGTGTCAGAGGTACGGGGTAAAAAAATCAAATAATTCACAAACAGAATTTAATGTTTGTTTCTCCAGCAGGGCATGATGCAATACACAAAATTATATCGCATCCTAAAATCCAATCCTTGTGGTAGAATTTGGTCTTCATACAAACGGGAAAGACGGAAAAATAAGGGAAAAAGAGCACGGAGGAGCATTCACATCCCAATGTATGAAGAATATTTCTTCTTCCTGGATCACAGTTGCGCAATACCTTACTACTCGAGCAAGGGTACAGAGTAAAGCAAATGAGTAAATCGATGGATTAGGTGAGTCGAAAAACCATGGGACAATCGAGCTCAGGTATACGATAAAAAGATAAACGGAAGCAATGGTACTACGGGCTCATTGATGCAGTGGGTATCAGGCTCTCGTTTGGACTATGAGTTTTCCCGTTTGAAACAGTCGATTGAGTCGGTATATACAAGTTTTGATCAAAAATAACTGTCATTTCGGAAATACAGTACAGCTTCCAATAGCATACTTGTATATTGACGGCTATAGTATTCGACTGCTGGAAGCAAAGGCATGAGTAGATATTATTACAAATATATTGCGTCTGATGTTGGGTAATATCATATTTAATCCCGTGAATAAGGCTCGGAACACCAAGAGTTGGGAGAGAAAAATGTAATGAAAGTCAGGGTGTTGCACGAGTTTGATCAATACCTGTGCACTTATGTATGTATGTATGTAATTGTGTATGTATGCATGTATACATGTATGAAATTATCAAAGATCAAGGATTTATTATGGGAATAACTTACAAACTCATGCTTTTCTTGTCCCATATATTCGCGTTG